AAATTAGCTGCTGGGGGAAATCCCTTTTATTGACAAATATAAGTGGCAGTATTTTACTGGCTTTATTCTGGAGGTTTATAGGAAAATCCAGGTAGGATTATGGTGATCCTCTATTTGTTTGTTTAAACCATAAAAGTATCTCCTGTGAGCTACAAGCAATGGTTTAACACAACGAGCTGCGAACAAGTTTAGCTCTACCTGGTAAGATCTCGTGTCCAGGTCCTCCAGAATATAGTTACTTAAAAGCTTTGCATGCTTAATTTCCTATAGTTGCTGGAGATGGGGAAACAGCCAGCCAGAATCAATTTCTGAGAGTCTGTAATATCCTGACACATATCTTAACATATCTATACAAATATACAAACAATCAATCTATCTGAAAAAATGCCCGTTGCAGCTAATGAGATAAGACTGCCTGGTCTAAACGCCAGTCCTGAAATGGAGAGAAGGATTGCTGAACACATAGGAACAGGAAATTTCAAAATTGCACTAGGTATTAAAATAATAAAAAAAACCCAAAGTAGAACATGTTTTCCAGCAGGTCAGTGGTTTTGACACAGATGATGTACAATTTATCATACAATCTTCTATGTTAATAAAACACCAACACAAAAAGCATCAGTAATTTAAAAAAGTAGAAAAGGTATCAATTATGCTTAAAATTTGGAGACTTGAACAAAAAATTATTAGACCTGTGCAAAAGTAACCGAGTGCAGAAGGTGACTGTATCCGTGGCCAAAAGCACTGCTTCTCCTCGCCCAACACTTTGAGAAATCCAAACAGCATCTTAAAGACCGTACTTTTATGCATCCATGGGAAAGCATAACGGAATAACTGCTACATGCTTGACTTCTGGTATTCCAAACACAATTTCTTTAAGTAAATCGCTTTCATTTAAATAGCCATATGTAGCATGGCAGAGTTCAATGCTGTACTAACAAAAAACTCAACGAGAGACTTCAACAATTCTGCTGGCTTTCTGAAAAGCGCATACAATCTGCAAAATAAAAGGCCAAGCTTCCAGCTAAAGAAGAGATTTTAAACAATTACTAAAGCAGGATAGTGATATCATAAAGGCAATTTCTGCGCTAGCTTGTTTTCTGAAACTCTCTTTGCCTCTGAACAGCTAGAACAGATAATAACTATTAGTAAATCAAACTCCTGCAATATCCAGCTGTGTCTCACACATTTACATACAGATAGAATGGGTATATGTTTTTAATATGTATGCAATACGTACTTTTACCACAGCTGAAGTGCATGCTACAAAGGAGGAGGAGAATGGGAATGGAATCAGCATGAGATAATAAAGTGGCCTAGATAAAGTATTAGCCAGCGATTGATCTCAAACAGGGGATGTTGCTTCTCTCTGACCTGATTACTTACTATGCATAGATTCCATTAAATAGAGCTTAGAATGGAAAGCTTCTGAAAAATACCGTAAATACAGTCAGATCTACAGCTTCTTGAGCCAAACCAGCCCACAGATACCTACCCACACACGCGGCTCGAGTAGGAGTTTAAACCTCGCCCGTACTGCCACATCACACTTGTTAAATATATATGTCTGCATTTCTCTGGGAGCCAGGCTTGCGATGCCAGAAAACTCCATGTTTTAAATGAAAACAGGAAGTTCAGGGGAAAAAAAAAATCTTTAGGCAGAAGAATTGCTGAGATTTTCCTTTTCCAGTTGGAATGGGAGAGAAGAGAGACAGAGGAATAGGCTAAGATGTTGTGCAGTCTTTCCTGGTGCTGAAACAGGAGTAAGGTCAATTTAATTGACTGTATGTCTTTCTCTTAAGAGGGAACAAACTGGAGACAAAAGAGCAGACACTGTAAGCAAAAGGTTCAGAATAACCACCAGTGAATTACATTGTTCTTTTCCCTGGATGGACAATTTTCCTATTGCTTAATGAAATGACTTTCACTTCTGTGGAACAAGTCTGCTAATTTGAAATACTTTGAAACAATTAAATTGTTGATTATGTATATACAGAGAAACTGATGTTATATCTTGTTTTGTGGATGGATACATGGCAGAAAGGGCATAGTGACTGAGTGTAAATACAGGAACCTGATTTATGCCAGCTGTTATGGAAATCAGGAATTCGCTTGCACAAGAGTACCTATGGTATTAGAAAGCCTGACTTTATACAGGAATTTCATATAGACTTGGCTTTGGCCCTATTTTCTGACAAAATGTGTATAGTGACTTGTATAAAAAGGGGCTTCCTAACATGATCGACAGGGTAAATCTATCCCTGATGTAACCCTGTGACTTCATTGGAGTTGCCAGTCTGGCACTCCAGGTATTGTTAGTCAGCTCTTAAAATGCATTTAACAATTCACCAATTATCAGGAGAGTAGAAAAAGATTGATGTTCTGCTCCCTTCATTTTGCTTTCAGTCTTTAATTATACTAAATTGGTTACAAAATAGTGACTTCCAGTACGGTTAACATCCATAGGGGAGAAAGCCTGCATGCTGCTGTTTTGTCTGAAGCTAACAATGATTAGGTGTTACACCTTTCATCCTCGCTAGTACAGTTCTTCTAAATAAAAAACGCAACAAACCCCAATGAACAAGGTGAAATCCTGTTCTCATTTACATCAATGGTAAGCTGACCTTGACAAGTCCAGGATTTCACTGACAGTATCTGCATCACTCTGCCCACTCTGATAGTTAACAACAGGGAGATAGCCACCAGAATTACAACAGAGGTTTCAGAAACGGATGACGTGGGATTCTAAGGATACTGTGGTGAACAATTCTACAGTTCGGAGGATACTGAACACCTTCTGTTCTGGCCCTGTTTTCCAAACAAGTATGGTAAATTATATACACATGTGTCTATGTATGTACAGATATGCTGTGTGTATATAGACATATTATGCTAATGTATAAACGCAGATTAATTTTATAAAGTGCTCCTTGACAAGACTGGGTAAGTGCAAGGATGTAAAGGGCTTGACTGGTGAGCGACTACGGAACTAATAGTGAGTGTGTGACAAAAAAGCACAGGGTGCTCAGGGTGCTCTGTGCCCATCAAGCTGGAGGAGGGAATTTAGGGCAGCTTATGAGGGTCAGCAACAGCGCAGGCAAGGACTGGGTCACTTCTTTATTTCAGCAGAGTCTACCTCCTGCTTTAGTACTTGTTGTTGCAAGTTCATTTATAATTGAACACAAAGTAACATGAGGGGAAAAATGCATTAAACAAAAGATTTTGTTTAAAAAGTAGGAAGGTTTGTGGGTTTGTTGTTTTTTGGGTTTTTTTTGTTCTTTTTTTTTCTCCTGAGCCACTATAATTTTAAAATTATTTTACAAAATACCTCCTTAAAAGGAGACTAGCACACTCCAGGGCATGTAGTTGTAAAGATAAATCTGTGCATTTCCCTGGTACTGCAGGCACTCACCCTTTGGCCTCATTTTTATGACTCTACACCCTGGAGTGGTGTTATTGCTTACAAACATACATATATACTTATGGGGGTATGTGCGATCTGCAGATGTTTTATTTATAAGTGGCAGGCCTATTGCATCACTGAAACATGCATTTACAAACAGATATAGGTTTTATGAAACCCTATTCCGTGTTTTAATAGCTAAGCTATCCAGCCATAGCATAATAGTGCACAAGGTAAATGTGTCTACATCTCTAGAACCTGTTCCAAGTTTTCTCAGATGTGACTAACTGCAAGAATTTTCCAACCATCAAAAGTTAATAAAAAAGACAAAATAAGGCAGTGTAAGCCTTTCGTATGAGACACACAACACCACAAAGTGGAGGGGCTCCGATAAACTTTAAGGCCTCATTTTACCAAGGTATTTAAGCAGGTGCCTAACTTCAAATGTAGATCTACTGAAGTTAATATCCTTAAAATTAGATTCACAGTTAAATACTTTACTAACCAGTATCTAAATTGAGACTAGTCTGGATTGTGAGATACCTGCCCCAGGGCATCTTCAGAGATTAGCCTTTAACTAGAGAATAGCTGCAATAGAAACACTTGTTTATTCTACTTGCAGTTCACAGCATGTAACCAAGAAATGAGAGGATGCAAACCTGTCCTTATCTTGTTAAAATCTGTCAAAATTATTCTCAGATATTTAATGCACAGAAAATAAATTCTCATGATTTTACATAAGCCTCCAAGTTACAGGAAACGTAGCGCACAAAGAAAAGTAATGAAGCACTTAAAAATCAAAGATATTTGATGCGAGTCAGAGGGGACTACAACTTTTATCTACCATATAAGTTACTGTAAATATTTGTCGTAGTTGTTTGATAAAGTATTCTTCTAAGCTGCTTAAAAACAGTCAAAACAGCATTCCCACTAAATACACATCCACAAGGGATCAGCTTGAGAGCAGGTACCCGGTTATTGTCTTACTGAAAAAATGACAATTGCAGAGAAAAGAAGTAGTCTCTGAGCTCAGATTCCAACACCGAGAGCCCTTCTACAGATAGACTAAAGCTAAGTATTAACTAAATCTTCTGTAGCCAATCTAATTTCATTTTACATTGGTATAAGTGAAAACAACATCTGCATTTCATTAAAAATACACCATTTTGACCACATCCTCTGTTTTCAATCTTCAGATTTTGAAAGGTTAAGACTGGCAAATGATGAAAAAGAGTGACCTACATTAAGCTGTAATCCCTGGGCATACTAACTGAAAAGCCTGTGTATTAAGCATCAAAACGGCCTTGACTGAAACGTGACACTGGCTGTGAAAGTTCTATATTAACTCCCCAAATCACAAGTGAAGATTTGGCCATAATGAAGGTAACAGCAAAATACCCATCAACTTCAGTGGAATCATAATTCCACCTTTGGTTTGCGTATTCTCTGTAAATATGTAATTGCTGCACAAGCCAGAAAGAATTTAAATTTGTACATACTGAAAAATGCAGGGAAAAAACCAGATATACTTCTATGTACATGAATAAAAAGTATTCACAGACAAATACATACTGAGGGGCTCTGAAGTTTCACTTACCATTAAATCTTCAGGTGCTGGCCTTTCCTTTGGCTGCTTTTTCATGCTATGTGTCATAAAACAAAAAGTTCATATATGAACAACGGCTCATTTATTGTACTTGCTTAAATATTGAAGATACCCTCTTTTAACGTAGAGTGAAGAATTTAAATGCATTCCTTAACTTTATCATGTGTCAACAGGAAACAAGGTTCCAAACAGTGGCCAAAATGTAAATGGATTTCTTCCTTCCCTCCCTTATGGGGTGCAGTGGTCTACACTGTTTGTAACTATTTACACTGTGTGTAAATAGAGAGATCATTGAAAACCAATCAGCTGAGAAGGCACAGTAAGTTGATTCTCATTTTGCTACTGATTATTACATTGCTCGACACAAAGTATTATCCAAACAGGTGGGAAATTTAACTCTAACACTAAACAGCTTCAGGAGAAAGCACAATACCCTGGGGTTTCTACCTTAATTTTTTCACATTTATTTCCATTACACTGCAGGGTGATAGTTCATTACACAGCATTAACCTGTTTATAAGATCATGTTTCTCATCCAAATAGTCCTAGTTTTCTGTGCAACAGGTGCAATTAGCTATTGAAGGCTGTGCTTAGCTGCATGAAGGAACACAATAACATGGCACAGAGGTGACCATCAGGAGCTGCCTACTGACTAATTGGATTACATCCAAACAGCCAGTGTTTATGGCGTAATTGGCATAAAGTCATAAAGTCTGATACGCCGTTCACTTGACATCTCTAATACGTATTAGGAATTGATTGCTTAAATAGTATATAGTTTCTTTTTATTTGCTTTTTTTTAAAACAGTAGTGCCTCCACTAAAATATACAGCTGATCTAACACTATCTCTAAAATACTAGATGATCCGTGCTGTAAATCGGAGATATTAACAATACAATTTACCTTCCCTACAAATAACTACAAGCACCTCAAATGATACAGGCATTAGCAAGTAATGCAAGCTGTCTGACGAGTAGGTTGGTAGCAGTTCTAATCTGACAGTCCAAAGTAGCTGCATCCCCAGGGAAAACAAGGCTATTAGCCACCATCAGTTATGCTTCAGTTTGACATCTGTGGAAATTTTAACACAGGTTATCCCTCCCTCTGCCTCAATGAGAATTTTTTAAAACGGTCTGTCATCAATTTTTTCACAAGGATAAAAAGCATACACCTCCACACACATCAGTTAGTTGCGCTGCAGAATCCTCCAAATAGCATTGCTCTTTGTAAACTGAAACTATTGAAAACAGAGGCCTATGTTACACAAACTTTAATTATTTAGTTACTTTAATTAACTGATAATCAGACTGCTTTTTGTGTCTACATTATTTGTTGCATACCATGCCAGTCCCGAGAGGTACCTTCTCCTACGTTATGTATTCAAAATTCAATTTTATAGGTGACTTTTGCCGCGGTGACCCTGGCATACAGCAGAGAATCTGAAGGTGCTGTGGAGACCGACCTACAGATCCGTGTGGGGCCGAGGGCTTTGAGGAGGACACATCCCTGAAGCTCGCCGTGGCACACACTGAGATGGCTCCATCTGATTTAGCACAGCTGAGCATCCAGCCCTGGAAGTGCACGTTTGCAGAAGAGATGCTTCTCCGTCAAACACACCGTGTTTATACAGAATTCAAGCTTTGTTCTTCTGCCCCCCCTCACCTTTTTTTTAGGGGGTGTGGGGGGGTGTGACAGTTAAAAAAAAAGATTTTTCCTTTCACTTTGTTTCTTCAGGACAGCTTACCCTCAAGATTTGTATTCTCTAGTCACTCAGGAACTGTATTCTTTCTCCTGTAAATTCCTCCTCTCCCCAATCCTCCTTTAATTTAAAAGGTTTTCAATGAACTATTCAGTTTTAAGGAAAGAAAACATACCCAGTGGTGTGTTTTAAAATACGACTCTCAGTAAAAATTACTTACTGAAAAGCCAATGAATTAATCAAGGCTGCTTGCCTTTCTAAATATTGAGGCAATTTTATACATAATATTTTAAAAAGCCCTGAATAATGATATTATACACAAGTCTTTGTGGCCTCTTTACCCCCTAGATGAATTCTTCGGAGTCTCAGTGCACAAGACTGCACCCACATTCAGGGCAGGTTTATTAAAACAGGAAAAACCCTTGTAAGTACTTTTACGACCCTTTGTGTAAATAACGTTTACATAATTTAAACAGTTTGCTTAGCTTTGCTGCCCCATCTGCCCAAGGCCCCCAAGTCCCTCTTCTCTCAGAAAGGATGCAAGGAAAGCCATAAGGTCTCGCAGAGCTGCAGAGTTAATGGCATGTATCATTTACATTGAGGGCATGGCATGTTTGCAAACTGAGCTTACCATTGAGTGATGAAGTGTACAAATGGCTCAGAGAACTCCCCGGCTGGAAGGACGGGCGATTCCTGGGATTGGATTGAAACAAGAAGCAGAGTCAGAAGGAGAGAAGGTTTGTTTTTTTTTTTTTTAAGGAGAGTAATATAACAGCGACAACAAAACAAAAAAAAAAGGGAAAAAAAAAAAAAAAGGAAGCGACAAAGCCCCTTTTCACACAGAGTATTTGATGGAGAAAGGTACAAATTCTTCCGAGAATGTGTTATAAAACACTGAATTTCAACTAATGAGTATTACACAATGGGTAAAAACATGTGGAAAGACACTGAGGGGAGGTGAAAAAAGGACAATGATAGCCACAGGGTAAAAAGGAAGGTAGGGAAAGTGTAAATGAGAAATTAATGATTATTTAAGTAACACACAAATGGTCTTGTAATTAACAAAGAGCTGTGAAATTATTCTTGTGTTGACCTTTGTTTCTTTCACTGCATTTGCTATTTATTTACACTCATGTTTATTTACACTTATTCATTTTAGAGGCTGTCCTCATATGCTGTCTGTTCTAGATTTAAAAGGCAAAAGAATTTTTAAGAGGAAAAAATACAGGATTTACCGGTCTAGCGGTAGAAAATAACCACCCAGTATTTAAGAAAGAAAAAAAAAAGCAACAACCTAAGAGCACAAGAAAAAAAAATTACAAACAGGGAACAAACAACATCACCATTTGCAAAGAAGGGCTTTACGAATTTAGGAGTTTTTCCAAGAATGACAGAGAGCTCCACTGTGTTTATAGTGTAACAGCTCAGGATGTAATGAAATTACACTGCAGAGTACTTTAACAGTGTCATCTCATTAGACCTACAGTTGGAACAAGAGAGCCACATAAAACAGGCAGCTGCAAATGACTCCATTCTCATCTATTCTCATTTGCTATTAAAAATACCTTTCGGCGGCTTTTTTCCTCCCTGACATCCCTACACAAAGTACCCTGCAAAGTATGATACATGCACCTATTTAAATTAACAAAGGAATGACTTATTTTAATCTCACTGTGCTTTGGAGTGCTTTGGCCATTTGGATGAGCAATATATCATTACATACAACCTTCCAGCGCTGCAGGCAAGAAACTCAGAGCGTGCAGCATTTGGTGGGAGCCAAACAATTTCTCTAGCACACAACTGTGTCAAATGCATGCATGTATTCATTATTGAGAATGCGAGGAAATAGCTTTGATGTAGTGGAAAAAAGAAGATGATAAAAGCACCTCTGCAATGTGTGTGCCATTATCAATGGTGGCAGATAGACACAACTGCAGAGCCTCCTATGTGATTAGTAAATATACATATAATTGCTGTGGCCAATTATCAGAAAAATGAGATCGGTAATTACAAGACAGAAAATTAACTAGAACTCTTATTAAGGCTTTGTTTCCAATTCAAACAATTGGAAACTGCTGGAAAATACAATTAAATCAAAAGTAACTGAAGAGTAAAAGGAGAAGGCAAAATTGCTTTACAATTTTCAAAGACTTCTATTAAATACAAGGAGTGTTTGATATAACATGCCCAAATTCTCTTTGAACTTAGACCGGGTGAGGGAGAGGTTATTGTTTCTAAACTTACAAATGACATCAATATAGGAAGGTTTCCACTGGAGAGTGGAAGGAACACAAGGAAATAAGCAGTGCAATTAAACTTTCTCCACTTCAAAGAACTGAGCACGAAAATTATTCATATTAATACAGAAAACGCAGAGCCAAATGTCAGCCTTGCTTATACGGCACGGAGCCCAGCAGGTTTTGCCTCTCCCCACCATTTTCTCGTGCCCAGCAGAGCCTTCCTGGGCTTGTGGTGCCTGAAGCGCCAAGAGCCACTTTTCCCAGGTAGGCCAGACTCAAAGCAGAACAGGTAGGAAATGCTCTTGGCACATAGTACAGACCATTTTGAAAAGTACAGCGTGAAGCTATCGGAGCCCACTCCCTGGGCTCGGGCTCTGCCCAGCAATCCATCCCTGCTGTTTATTTTAAGTAAAATGCAAGCAAGGAGCTTGTCACAACGGCCCCTGCAATGGGGCTGCCAGCTTGGATCAGGGGAGCTGGACAGGCGCGTGGCGCTTCACACTCATCTGGTAGGTGATAATTTCTGCCATCATAAAGAGATGAGGGACCCATAATAGAGTGAAACTTCATTATGAGAGGGAAGGAGAAGCTGATGGACTGCTCTGAAGCCACCGGCGTTTCACTTTGGCTATCCCAAACTAAGCTGGCAGCAGGGTTCACGCAGGCCAGGGAAGAAGCTGCTTCAATGTCAGGATCAACACCTTGACCCTGCCACTCCTGCACTGCCCCACAGCCAGGAGACAAGGTGCTCCCGCATAAGCATGCCACAAAATTTCACCTGGATGAAAGTAAGTGTAAAATGCTTGCTTTTTTTTTTTCTGTACAATGCAGGTATTTCAATGCCATCAGGCCTATGCTCTTCTGCTGTAGGCCTCTCAGTCACGGCCATGCCTTGGTTGGTTTGCTTGCAGGAGCCCAGGAAGAGATTGTGTGTGTGTGGCAATGAACACAAACTGGATCTTGGTATGAAAACTAGACACATTAATACAGTCTTCTCAAGGATATTAGACTGCACATCCACAAATTTATTGGCTCTGTGCCTGACAAACTATAAGCCTTTTGGGAGAGTGCATCGATCTCAAGAAAATACTTGCTGGGAAATCCATTTGAGGGCAAATGGATCAGTGCAGATAAAAACTTTAATTTCACTTCTGTAAATGTAAGCCAATTGTTACTTTACAGCATCAGTAAGACGGGGAGAAGGTGTCAGGTTCTGGTTTTAGCTCAGCCAGGAAAGCATGGGCCCTCAACTGCTTCCAAAGTTGAACACTGAGAAGCTGCCTCAAATGCTGTATTTACCTTAGTTAGAAAGAGAAAACATCTGTTCAGTGTCTGCCCAGGGAAATCAATGACCGAAATATTTTGATTTCTGATACTGTTCTGTGCAAGACCATTTGAGTAAGCAGAAAGGTGAGAGTGTTTTGTAGTTAAGAGTTATTTCTAATGAGAGAGAGTGCTGCTATATTGCTACCTCTGTAACTTGAGCAATCACAAGGTTGTTGTATCAGGTATAAAGCAAACATTTCCAAAACTACACAAAGTAAATACATCCTATATTGTTTCCTGAAGTTGCCTGGACTTCGGCTGACACTCAAGGAGATGGGAATATGAGGAAACAAAGCAAAGATACACATGTCTACCAAGTCTACGCTGTCTGCGTGAGGCAATACATTCACATTTGATGTAACTATACGGAATGGTCTAGCTGCACTGCCAGCCTGCCTTATTTTACCCACCCGCACAGTGAAATCATACTATAGAAGCAAAAAAGTAGGAAATCAAGATTATAAAGGAATGAGGAATAGGTATATTCATTCTAAACTGGGAAATGGTTCTTGCATTTTCATTAAATACCATACCTGTTATCCGGTATCATGAAGACCTATATATTGAGAATGCTAAAATGGCAGTAAAGACACAAACTGTTGTAAGGGTCAATGACCATTGGCCTCTTACTTCTGCAGGCAGCTTATTCCCAAGACTGGCTATTTCCCTTCGCATCCAAGCAACATTTCTGTAATCAGGATCTGCTGCAGGAGAAGACAAGATCAGCCTCTGATTTCTCAAAACCAGCCAAACCGTGCACTCACAGTGAGAACAGGGAAGGGCAATAGGAAAAAAGTTTGAGTGATGCCTTTGCCTTGTGAATAATGAACAGTTCAAGAAGGTCAACCCATTACAACTGAAACCGTTTAATTATTAATTATGCACAATCTATGAGCAAAAGGACAAGTTCAGAATGTTTAATGTGTGGTAACTCCGACTGGACCCTCTCTTGGCATTTTGTTATTAGCACTTGTCAGCAAGGTGCTCAGGCATAAAGAAAAAAGCACAGCAGCAGAAAATCTGAGCTAGCAGGAGGAGGGAGGGTTTTAAACTTCAAACACTGCTCCTAATATTTAATTTATAAAGTGCTAAGGTATAAACCTTATTGACTTCCACGGAGTTAGGGAAAGTCACATTATCTAAATGAAGACCTGAGAATGAGAATATCAAAATAATCCCTCCAAAAGCTCTCTCTTTTGAAGGGAATGATAACATTACTATCTGCATCTTCTTTTTTTTTTTTTTTTTTTTTACTGTGTCCAGAAGCCAACCAATCCTTTACAATCTAAGCAGTAAGAGCTTGAATTACAGGTCTGAGTATTATCCTCACTTACTTCTCAAACCTATTATTTGAAATGTCTCCTGATCTGTTTACTCTCACTAAGCAGATACTACGGAGGCTCAGGAAATAAATAATGTCCAGTAAACCCATAAATAAGCATGAATAAGGCACCTATTCTCTGTTTTCTGTCCAGTTTCCCGTTTAGAGGCTTACCTGGACAAACTCAAGAAGCAAATTCAACAGATACAGCTCTGACTTGCTTATTTTCTTTGGAAACACTCATGTCAATGAAATTTGGGAGTAGTTCTTGACTGGCAATATACACCAAAAACATCCCATGCTTTACACACCTTCAGAGGTCTGACCCCAACAGACAATTTCTTGAGAGTGAAATATTTTCTCAAAGAAACTAGAACTCAGAGATTTATCACATCCTTTCTGAAGAAAAAGAAAGCTCACAATCTCCCTATAACAGGAAAAGCAGCAAATACAGCTTTCTACCTAAAACCTTCAAGAAAGTGATGGCAAAGCCCTTGGCTCTGTGTTAAGATCAAACCTGTGTTCCTCCTACCTCCTCCTGCGGGGGCCAGCCCCATGGCCAGCCCTGGAGCAGAATGATGGCAGCCTGTCCTTAACGCATCCCCAGAAGTAAACCAGGCTGCAGAGCCATGCAGGCTCAAAGACGAGCTCAGCTATGCTTCGTGGGCAGCAGAGGTTGGTATTCCCACACTCAGTGCAAATAGGTTCTACTCCCTCTTCTCATCTGAAAACTCCCTCTCTGTGAAGGGTTAATTTTCCCCATTCCCCACAGCTACAGCTATTTTGCAAAGCGCTCTCCTCAGTGT